TTATAGAAACCCCGACGTTTACTTTTAGGTGTTATAAACTTCGTGGCAAACTTGATATACCCTGTTCAGGGCATGATAATATTTCAAAACAATACGTTATAAACGTTATCAAAACAATAGGCTTTATTTAGTAAACCGTAACACATCGGAAATTGTCGTTTTTGGCCAACAAAAACAAAAAATAAATAAAACAACATCAAAAAAGTAAGGAAGGTCTAAATTTAGGTGTAACCGAACATTTTGTACTCTCGCAAGGTAAAGTGATATACCAGATTTTCGTATATACCTACAGTATTTTAATTAAAAGTAGGAAGTATTGCATACAGTATTTACAATAACAGGCAAGAAGATACACTATTATTAGAAAGAGATTCTTTCGGAGTTTTTTTAAGATTTCTTACATATTGACCGATAGATGCGGTAAAAAGTCAAGCGGAATTGCAAAAATGTTTATTAAGTATATGGGGGCTAAGGGAAGTATTAACCCGATTAGGACACTATTTGTACAAAGTTTTAACCTATTGACTTCATTGATGTTTAATTTATATACTGTAAAGTGAAAGAATCAGAGGGAATTGAAAAATGTGTTATATAGGAAGTAGGCGTGGTTGTCAACTAATTCCGCATATTTCCCTCATGTGCAATAGTAATAATATAACCTTACACACCAAATTTGGTTCCAAATGATTAAGTAGTTTCTGAGATATAGGATTTCACCAAAAAGTGAGCGGTGCCACTCCCATTGTCCAATATATAGTAATCGTGTTGAGAACTCTTTACGGTAAAGTTTTTCCAATCATAGTTAGCTTAAGGCTTTAAAGTACCATTTAATTTAACACTTCTTATCAAATATATCACTCTGCATTTATTTCATTACACTTTCACTTCCTCAAGACTTGCTTTCAATATTGAAATTTTACGCATCAAAGCGCCACAGCGTAACTAATTACAGTCTCAACATTTGGCTTTTGTTTGCAGGACAATTAAGGAGACACGCAAAGGACAAGCCCATGTAATTTTACGCGTAGCAGACAAAACAAAAAACAAGTTGGAGAAAACAAAGAAAACACACAAAATCAAAAAAATAAATGAGCACAAAAGCGCAGCAGACAAAAGCACAAACAATGGCTACAAAGTAGCACCGCTGGAAACGCGGCGTATCTGTCACAACATGACAAGAAAAAGCAGGGCGTGAGCAGTAGTAAGCATATATTCACATGCTCACATACATATAGATATGTATATGTAAAAGAGAAAATTCAGTGCAGACTCCTGCTGCTGTTACTCACATTGGCATTATCCTGCAGCGCTTTGCACTTGGCCTTTTCCTCAGCATCCGTTATATCCTCAATGCGTTTGTTGATTTTCTATAAAGTAAAATAAATACATTTCCCACATTAGTATTGTCTCAATTTGAATTTGTTTTCACAATATTTCATTTTCTTTTTACGCAAATTTTCGCCACTCACATTCGTCTGCTCGATGATCAACTGCAAGTATGCGTCCGCTTCCGATACACGTCGACCGAGTAATTCCAAGTGGTTGGCACGTTTGTTGCCTACCACATCTTTCTGATAGCCGCCAAGGTAGAAAGTGCTTTGATTGTCCCACAGACGAGAGCGATTCGCATGCCGTCGTATGGTGTCCTCAAGTCGTCTAACCCACTTTTCGCGTTCTTCACTGTGTTGCGCCTGTGATGGATTCGGATTCGGGCGTGTGGGTGATGAAGTGATTGCGTACAAACCACGCAATGGTTGGTTTGGTTTTTCGTTTTTTTTTTTTTTGTTTTATTTGGGAGAGAGAGAGAATGTTTATTGTAGTATGAAGGTTGGATGTATTTGAATAGCAACAAATGACAGTTGGATGACAGAGAATGTGCATACATACATATGTATGTGCAAATAAATGTATACCATATATACGTACAAATATATATTATTTATTTAGTTTAAGAATTTTTTATGAGTAAAAAAATTTAATTCATGCCTACAATAAAGAAAAGAAATTTTAGATTATTTAAAAACAAAAATTTCTGTATTGAAAAGCTCTCTCGTTTATATTTTTCTCAGTTTTGTTAAAGGAAATTTTTTTTTTTAATTTCTGTTAAATATAATGATATTTTTTAAAAATTATTTCAATGAAAATAAAGCAATTTCTTTTATCTGCAAGAAAAATATTAAGACTTACGTCAATTGGATTGTAAATGTCGAATATTATTATATAGTTTTCGATTAGTTTAATACGAAAGTTTTAACATTACAATTTCGAATTAAATTTTGAATTTGCTGATCCATAGCACTTTTCGGGTAAAAAACCAAAAGTTTAATTAATTACGAATTAAAATTACTATTACTAATAAAAGTTAGGTTATGTTCAAAAAATATGAAAGTACCTCTCATATAAGATGGAGGAAAATTTGAAAGTAAGCTTTTTAGACATAATTGAGAAAACAGTTCTTAATTGGTCTTCATAAATTGAACTTTAGTCATTTTGAAATTGCGTTTATTTATAATTAATATTATTATATTTGAAGCAATTCCACGCTTCCTCGAACGCAGGTAGGAGCAGACAGACGTGTAGAGGAACAAACAGCCTTTTTGGGAGACAAATATGTCACTACAACAACAACAATAGCGAATAATTTTTCATCAAAACTGGGTGTGCAGTTTGAGTTCTAAAGCACAGACACATATTTGAACCTGACTAGAACCACTCAGCTGAACTTTCTGATTATTAATAATAATAAAAACTGTTTACTCTGCTTCTAGTAAAGCTTATTTAAATTTTTTTTATTAATATAAATTAATATTTTCAATAAAAAATCAAAACAAAATTCAAAATTAACCTCACTTTACATACCTGAAAGTGAAATGTTTTGTGATCCACAGTTATTGTGAAGGTGTTATCCTCTTGGTCGTCTATGCCGATAACAGCATCTTTGAGGCGCACGCAGCCGCGACGTACCCCTTTCATCATTTTCTCCTTCGACTGCAAATAACGGTAAAGAAAATCATATGAGAAATTTCCTATAAAGGAAACTACAAAGGTGAGTATATGTAAATAAAGGTATATATGTATGTAGATATGTTAAGACAAACATCTCTTGACGAGTTAATGAATAACAAGTGTTTGATTTCATTTAAAATCAATAAAGTAATCGAAACGAGCACCGGTGAGTGGATAAGGTGGCCTTTCGAAGTGCTGCAAGCATCCAATTGAAGACGTTTATAACGGTACAGGAAAGCCATATGAATAGCGGTTGACAAAAGGCACGTGCAAAGATGTATATTATGCTAAATAAAAACAAGTATATCTTTGTATGTATGTATGTATGTACGTGTGTGTATATATATGGTATATGTACGCTTATAAAGTTATGCAATTAATCGATGTACTCGTATATACGCCCCAATGGCTGAATTAACTGGCGTACACGCACAGTCTGGTTTACATATGTCGTCAAGTGCATGCATATATGTATGTACATATATTTCTCTATAGGTACATCTACATTATAATATAAAAAAAGTTGGCCTCTGCTTCCTCTTATTTTAATTCCATTGAGTTTTATGCTGAATTAGTTCACGCAACTATTCTATGCAACATTTTGGTGTGAAAAAACTAATAATAAAAAGTAACAAAAAATAAAAAAATTTCACAAAGAAAAAAATAAAAAAGTAAAAAAAAAAATAATTAAAAACAAAAATGAAAAGGAAAAATAAGTTCGAGAAAATTAAAATAAATGTAAATCGATCGGCAACGCACTTGTCGCTTCTTATATGTAATCATGCAAATATGTATATACTTATGTATGTTAACTACTCAAAATACGGCAATTAAAAATGCAGCACTGGAAGAGCCGAGCTTAAAGGTTCAATACCGCATAGATATACGTTTTGTATGTATTTACACATATATAATATATACATATAGTATATAAGTATATGTAGTATATATAGTATATATGTATATTGTATACCGTTGTCTGGCTCTTAAATACATATATTACATTTTTCTTGTTAGTTTTTAGTGACTTGTTTTTGAAATATACACGCAGCTAGGCTCTTTTTCCCGTCCAATCGGTGCTTTGGGTTCTTGAAGTGCCCAAGTTTCATTTATTCTCCACTTAGTAAAGGCAGTTTGGCGCGTCTTGTCTTGCCTTCAGCGCGTCTTACACATTACCGTTAAACTATATAAGAACTTAAAGTTTCAAGGATAATAAAAAAGGATTTACTTGCTGAACCGTTGTGGTGGAATATATTCGGTTTTTCATTATTTAATTTTGTTAACGGAACAGTATTTGTGTGTGTGTGTGTGTGTAAAATGGATATTTTTCAGAATATGAACGAGGTGGATTACAGCTGCACCTGTTAGTATGCCAAAAATAAAAATCATTTAAATTTTATAATATAAAATTCTCATTTTGATTTGATTTCTTTTGACTCCGGTTATATTGCAAAAATTTTCAAACTTTCTTGCAAAAAATTATATTTAAATGTCTAATATTAAAATTCATACAATAATGTTGAATTTATCAACAATTGATATTAATCTTTGGTTGCTTTTAATGATTCTGAAAAAAAAAAATTTAGTTTGCTATGTAAGGAGCAAAATAGCAGTATTTTATTTTCAACAAAATTTATTAATATTCTATTCAAATATTTTTCTTTTTTGAATTTTTTAAATAGTGCATTCTTAATTTTTTATGATATTATTCAGTTTTAAATCCCATTAGATTCCGGCTTTCCAATATACATATACATACAAAAAATAAAGAAAACATGATTACATCCTTATAATTTAACATTTTTTTCTAACAAAAAAAATCAAACACACAATATATTAATCGATAAAATGTGATTGATACATTTTTTATCCAAAAATTATAATTATTTTACAATATTGTTTTCATAGACGCAAAGTATGAATAAAATTTGCTGAAAAGAGTATAATGAATAAATATACAATATATTTTTAATGAAAAAAATTAATATTTTTAAATTAAAAAAGTAGTAATAATAATAATAAAAAATTTCGAAGTATATTTCAAGTCAGATCTGCTTAAACCTTTACAAATACAAAATGTTTCTTACAAGAACTTAATTTCGAGGAATGCATTACCCAAGCCTAATTTCGTGAAGATATCACTTCAAACAAGCACTTGATTCCGATCGTTCAGTTTGTATGGCAGCTATGTGCTAAGTGGTCCGATATAAGCGGTTCCGACAAATGAGCAGCTTCTTGGGGAGAAAAGAACGACTGAAAATTTTCATATCGATACGGACAGAGCTCGTCATGCTAATCATTTATATAATATATATGTATTTTATAGGGTCTCCGACGTTTCATGTTGGGTGAACTTCGTGGCAAACTTAATATAGCCTGTTAAGGGTATAATAAGCTAAATTGAAATCGGGCTCCTCTACAGCCTCTTTATGAATTTCTAACTTATGAATATGAAAATATCAGTTGATTTACATATTTATATATATTTCCTAAATTTTCCAGTAATACATATCATTTTAATTAAATATTTCATTTTTATAGCAAAGAGCTGGACGAGTGGTTTGGTTTGCGTAACCTATGTTCATATTTGCGGTTTTGATGACATACCTGCTGTTAATTTATAAAATATTGCATAGTAAGTTTTATAATTACATTATATGACATTATTATTTACATTCATATAACACGAAATATAAAATTATAACAATAACAAAACTATTATACTCTGTAGCACAATGTTGCGAGAGTATAAAAGATTGTGGAATATACAAATGTATATGTAGCTTGTTGAATGTACATATGTTATGTATATACTTATACATATCAATCACAATCTAATCTCTTCTAGATTTTAATACTTTATTGCTTATTTTTGTATTTAACTGTCAAAACTAGTTTATTATGTGCATAAAAACATAAAAAGAATGTAAAGTAATTTATTAATTAAACATTTTTTGTTTACTATAACTCAATAAATGTTTATTAGGATTCGAGACACTACTGATACACTAGAAAATACAGTCGCAATCGTATGTATGTAAATCATATTAATCTAAACCAACATTCGAAAATTCTCCGCAAAGCCTAAATAACAATTCCAGCTAAGGATCAAGATGTCTACATTTGTAGACTAAAAATTTTACTTTAATAATCATTAAATTTGTATTTAAAAATTTTCACATTTTTAAAACAAATGAGACGCAGAGTTTATTTACACATATGTATGTATGTACATAAGAGAAAGCTGCAAAGCTATTTATCTTTGCATTTCCGTGAATGTAAGCGTAAACAAAACCATCTCGCATAATTGTCTTATTTTACAAGAATTTAATTAGTTCGCGTGCTTTATTGAACTCGGTGTGACGGTTAAAGCGTCATTTAGACAAATATTAGCATTTGATTGAAATTCATGAGAATAATTAAGCTGGGAAGTGAATTACTTAAAAGTATGCCGTCGTACTTGTGAGTACAAATAATTAATAAATAAAAGTGCAAATCATTAAACAATGATTACAGGCAAAACGTGTCGCGACTTAAATACATATACATATATATATGAATACATATAAATAGCAAACTAGGAAGCGCACGCAATGCCAAAGTACATAAATGAAAGATCAATTTAAAAGAGGAAACATAACCTCAATACCAAGCATTTTAATATAGAAAATCAATGTTGCATACCATATATGTATGTAATTATAAGCTTGAACTTGTGCCTTCTATAAATATGTGTTATGAACGCGCATTTTTACGCAATTTACACTTTTTATACAAAACATTAACATATATGCTCGTGTACACACTTTTCTATTTGCAGTTATATGAAGGATCGTGAGCCCTATCAGCTAAAAACCTATATTATTGTCAATACAATGCAAATGCTCTCCTGTATCTATATAATCAATGGGTAAACTTATACATGCATAGCATATGCATTTTTTTTAATTGCATACATTTCTTGCAAACAGATTTTCCGCATAACCTCAACGAGCGTTTTTCATTTCTGGATTGTCTTACGTTAGATCCGAACACATATATCACGAATATCTGTTTAATCGCGTCACTTACTTCACATTCTGGCTAAAGATTAGTGAGCTGTCGGAAACTATCGTATTCGTGCTACGTAAAAAACAGAATCAGGTGTCGTATCTGCATGTATTCCATCACTGCTCAACTGTTACATTGATATATCTGCTGCTCACGGATTATAGAGGTAAGTGAGAAATTAAAAAATAAACGTTTTTTTTCGTTTTTCAGCTATGCATTAGAATCAACTGTAATTCAATGCGTTGTTATTAATCTTCACATTCTCAGGTACCTCAGCTTTGTATCCGATTTTACTCAATTCTACTGTGCATGTGATTATGTATGCCTACTACTTGGCCGCAGCTGTGTGCGATGCGGAAACTATAAAGCGTTTAACACCAATCAAGAAATCGATTACCACTATTCAAATGATACAATTCGTACTGATTCTTACCAAGCGGGTTCTTGATGTGTCGCTGCGAAATATCCAAGTTGGTTGCAACTTACTATTCTGTCGTTGTCGGTTGTTATATTTTATGGATTTTATGACTTCTACATAAGGCTTACAAAGCTAGTAATGTAGAATTAGTGATAAGAGCAGTTAGCATTATTGTTTTTATTATTATTAAAATTTAATTTTATAGTTTTGTGTAAGCTGCTAAACACATCATAACTAAATGGTCTTCAAAATTTGTTTAATAAATATATACATACATATGTATGTATGTATACTATATGTACTTATATAAGAAACTTTTTATTAAAGTTTTGAATAATTAATAAATTAAATGAGAAAATTATACTTTGTCTGATTTGGAAAATTTGTTCGATATTGTAGCGTTGCCTTGGACA